TCCTAATTATTCCCTCGTCTGATGCTAAGCTTTTGTTTCACCCATCCTCTTAAAAAATACTAAAGCTGTTGCTTTGGGAGAGACGTTGACTTTGTTGGATTTTGGTGGGGTTTTTTAAACAATTGTGTCCCGTTTAGTCTCAGTCTGTCAACAATGCTGGTATATTCTGTTGCCTCCTGTGTTTCATTCATAGCCCCTAACTTTACAGAAATGTTTGGTATAGATTTGGGGAATAGTGGCTTTCAGTTGAAACAAGGGTGAACTTTTATCAACTGCAAACACCATCACGAACAACAAAAAGAAAATAAATCTCAAGCTTCATACCAGTCTACTTTCTCTTTTAATGTCTAAAAACCTTTTAAACATGGACTGAGTCCAGTCCTAAGGTGATACCTGGGTGTATCTTCATCAACATAAGAATATTCCTGAACAATCTTATGCAGAGGCATAGTCCATTTCTAAAACAAAATATCTTTTAAAAAAAAACAAATGTATGTAGTATATATTTAAGTCATCTCTGCTTAAGCAGTACCTACGTAATTTTTTGTGTTAAGCAATAATTAAGTAATAATGGAGATTGAAACACATTGTGAAAGTTTATTGTGGCTGATGGGGAAAACTGGTAAATAAATTGGAAAAACTGGAAGAAGGCAAAAATTGATTTCTGGCTCCCACATGACTGACCATTTCTTTTAAAGTTCCATTTGCAGTATAAAATTGTACTAAGAGTTTGTATAACACTATTACACATAAACTGTGCATAAATACAATTTAATAAGGTCAAGGACTATAATATTCCTAAACAAGTCAGAAATAAAAAGTGCCTTTTCTGTCCATGCAATAAATACCCTGTCTGGATTCTATTGTAAACTATAGTGCAGATCACTCAGTTGTACTCAGAGACATAAAACCTAGATCCTGTTGATATTATTTATCTTTTTAATAATTGTTTTTTTTTTAAATCTCAAAGAACATACAATAATTACTAGAAGCAGCAATTAAGTTCAGCAATGAGATTTTAAAATGTGTTTCTATTTAAGTTCATTTCAAAAATCCAATTGAATTAATTTGAAATTAGATTAAACACATGAAAATTCATTTTCACCAGTGCATACAGACAGAATTAAAATGTAAGATCTCGTTTTAACGTCCTTGTCTCCTGTACAACAGCTATTCCAGGCAGAGATTTTCAGCCGCCAGCAGATTTTGCATTCAATTATCTCTGATGGGCAGCACCTCCTAGAACAAGGACAGGTGGATGACAGGTAGACATTCCTGCATTGTTGCTGCTGCTGCTTATGTGAAGTAATGCTTAGACTAGTGGGGGACTTCCAAACAGAGAAGATAGCAGATGACAGTGTTCAGGTCATGCTCTTCTGAGGCAGAAGTTACTATTGCTGTGGTTAAGCTATTAATTCTCCAGCTCTTAATAAGATGATGTTCTTTAGGATTCTGTGGGGTATGTGAATGTGTGAAAGCATCTGGGAATACAGCAGCTCTGAGGCTGCTTCTCTGACAAATCTTTTACTTGGGTTATCAAGCATGTTACATATATGTCTATTTTGTTGTATTTTCAAAATGTTACTTTCACCAAAGGAGCCTGTATGACTCTTAGTGAGTTACACTTGATTTATGCGAGCTGGGGAAGTGCTTCCACGAAGAGGATTCCCTACTGCCATTTAAGAACTCTTGCAGCCTAAATGTGATGGATTAGGAATCACTGCTGTCTGAGGTTTTATTTTAAACACTTGTGACCAAATTAAAATCAGTGAAACACCACTGGCTTCACACTTGTGCGTATACATTGACTTTGCTGAGGGTATCATGGTCATAATATAGATTAGCTGTTTATTGAGATGTGAGAATTTTGTTAATGCTGTATATATCTTATGCCTGTTTGAGCTCAGTAGTAAGTCTGGGGGTAAATTGTGAAATCTCAATGATTTGCTATGAATTTGGCTAATCCAAACTGGCAAAACCTATGGAATTTTTTTTGTATGATTCTGGGGAGAAGGTAGAAGAAGTTTGTGTATTAAAGGTTTGGGGTTTTTAAGGTCTCAATGATTGGAATGTTTTGATTCTCCCAGTATATGAAATGTAAAGTGCTCATCCTCAGTCAGTTATCATAAGACTTCATTACTTTTCTTCTAGTCTTTCGTAATTTATAGCCAGAAAACATCTTCCCTTTCCCTTCAGTTTATTCTATTAAACAAATAGATCAAAGTATGAAGGCTACTATGGCTTTTTATTTATTTATCTGTTTCTAATAGGGATGAATTTAATCTGAAGCTGACTCTTCTAAGTAACCAGTGGCAGGGAGTAATTCGCCGGGCACAGCAGAGGAGAGGGATCATTGACAGCCAAATTCATCAGTGGCAACGCTACAGGGAGATGGCAGAGAAGCTGCACAAGTGGCTGGGGGAAATATCCTGCCAGCCAGTGAGTGGGCTGGGCAATGGTCCTATCCCACTGCAGCAAGCCAGAGCAATGCTGGATGAAGTGCAGGTATGGCCAGTGTGTTTGAAGAAATGAAGAAATTCTTGACTTTTTTACAGCCTTCATAATTTAAAATGTTCTTAAAAGCATATTAGATTCAGACTCTGCTGTGCAGAAAGCAGTATTGGATGTTAGTTGTTCTTTGGAACTAGCATAGTCTCAGAAGCAGCCGTGTGATGGAGTTCATAAAGAACATGCAGTGGAGAACTTACGGGGCCCTCTTTCTTGAGCTTTCTTTGCTTCTATTTTTGCTTTGTAGCTAACATCACACTGAAAATGTCTTGAAGAAAATGATGATGTCCTGTTTGAGGAATGTATTCTAGCTTGCAAAAAAGGATATTTTGCATGTCCATCTTCATGTGAGCTTAACAGTATCTGTTTAGCAACTTGGTATCTTCAGGCTTTTTGGCTGGAAGATAGATGTAGTAATACAGCTTGTAAGCATGACAGGCTCTAGTGAAACTGTTTCTCTTTAAGAGCAATTGAGATACTGAGATTAATGAGGAGACAGAAATCTTTCGTGTCTTTCATAAAATTTTCTAAAGATCTGCTGCAGTAAATGATGGTGAAAAGGTTAGGGTAGAGTATTTGGACAGTAGCTCATGCTTAAGCCAAAGTATTCAATCAGTTCAACTGTGCTTCAGAATGAATTATACCAAATTGCTAATTGTAATTAAAAAGAAAAAGCTGACAGAAAACTATTCATATTTTCAGCTTAAAGAGAAAGTTCTCCTAAGGCAGCAAGGGAGTTATATCCTCACTGTGGAAGCTGGGAAGCAACTGCTGCTTTCTGCTGACAGTGAAGCTGAGGCAGCCCTGCAGACAGAGCTTACTGAAATTCAGGAGCGCTGGAAGATAGCTAGCACCCAGTTGGAGCAACAAAAGAAGCAGCTTGCTTTACTACTGAAAGTAAGTGTGTGATTTCTTCTGTACTTCTTCAGCCAGTTCATGGTTTCTCACTGTGAACCCTGTTGAAGAAAAACATTCTCAAGGGATAAGCACAAATAGTGGAATTGCATACGCTCTACTTGAGCTCACGATTTCAATTAGCCACCTCTGAAACTAGGAGTGGTAGGACTCCACAGTAGGCTTGCATGTTAATTGATGTCTTTTAACTGATACTTACAGAACAATGCCAATAAAATATATTCTTACCATAACAGAGAAAAAAATGTATTTTAGTTTGGATCTAGACAATGTTGTAATAACAGGAGGCTTTGGCTAGGGTATTTCTACTAGCAGAGACCTACACACAAAAAAAAATGACACAGTTGTACACATGACTCGATCTCTGAGACTATGACTATTAATTGGAGGGGGATTTTAGGGCATGCTATCATTATGAAAAAGTTTTCACTGTTTAGTGGTTTATTTAGGCCAATCAACTGACATAGGTGTAATCCAGATCTGAATAGAAGTCTAATACACATTTTGCCTTCAGGACTGGGAAAAATCTGAACAGGGCATAGGAGACTCCCTGGAGAAGTTGAGATCATTCAAAAAACAGCTTTCTCTGCCGCTGCCAGAACACCATGATGAGTTGCATGCAGAGCAGATTCGTTGCAAGGTAAAGCACTTGTTCTCTTGGCTTTTGTCTCATCTTTGCCTGGCCTTGTGCAGTAACCTCTTTCATTGTTAGTAGGCTTCCCATTACTGACTGTGCCAATCAGTCAGCCATCCCTGTGGCAAGAAACTACCCATTTGGACAGCACAATAACTCACTGTAATGCAAATCCTACAGGTTAAAGTGAGATCAGAATAGGGCTTTAAAAGTACTGTAAAAGTACTAAATACTGGTGTGTTTTTACTACAGAAATCCCAATTTCAAACTTAAACTCATGGTACCTAAACTGTTATTTTAGTGCTTTTTATCTGAGGTGAGATATAAATCTGTGGGGGATCTTAGATAATACTTTTATGCTATATTCTTTGCAGTTTAGAAATGGGTTTCAACTTGAAAATATTTCCAATATGGAGAAATCCAAACCAATACTTGGAGTTCTCCAATACCTTTGAACTTGAGAGAGATTTGAGTAGTCTGTTACTTTGTGACTACAAGGCTGACGTGTTATTCTCTGTTGTGGAGTTATATCTCTCATAACTCTGAAAATATTGGTGCATATTTTCTTTTTCTTTTAAATGGGGCTGAAACAGTCCATTTGAAATAGATCAGACATATCTTTAATTTAGTGGGATAACAATGCCTTTGTTCATGCTTCATCAACACATTCAAATTTTTCTTTGTTAGCAAACTGGTCCTTTTTCCTTGTGCACTTCTTTTAAGGAGTTAGAGAATGCTGTTGAAGGATGGACAGATGACCTTGCACAGCTCTCTCTGCTGAAGGAGACCCTATCTCTGAATATCAGTGCAGATGACATCTCAATCCTCAGTGAGCGCATAGAGCTTCTGCACAGACAGTGGGAGGAGCTGTGCCACCAGGCAAGTATAGTCCTGAGCAAAGATATGAGTGTGCAGGCTACAAAAGTGTTAGGAGAAAAACTGAATGCCAGTGGTAGCTTGTAGAAAAGATGCATATAGACACACTTAGGTTCAAAACTGAACTTTTGCTGAATCAGGGAAAACATCCACTGAAATGCTTCCTTTAGTTCCTGCTAATATTTCTAGTTGTCTTGAACTTTGTCATGACTGTGAGGTCATATTCAAACAGCCTTGAAAAAACAGCCAAAAGGTCATGCTGTGTGCTATGGGACTGTGGCATGGCTGGCTGGGGAAAACAAGTAGTAAAACAGTTTGCTGTGCTTTGGTATAGGAGCTGTGCCCTGAAAGATGTTCCCTCCACACACAACATTTACTGTATTGCACATTGAGTTCTGCTTATAGCTTCTGTTTCTTCAGACATTGGTGTCTGCATTTCTTAGTCTGAGGATGACTTTCTTGGCTGCAAAATGAGCTGGAGTATTGTTTAATTCTTCAGGTGCATCATGCTATTAGTGTGTTTCTTGCCTCCATTTTGTGCTTAGAAATCCACTTAGTAAAGTCTCCCTCATTCAGCTTTTCAGATTACCCTGATATTATTTCTGTGGTTCAGTGGACATTGCAATCCAGATATACTGGGGCTAACCTTGAAATTGCTACCTCAAGTAAGGTACCTGTGAAGTTTTCAAAAACACCCTGAAAGTAGGAAAAAAAAATGCTTCACAGTTAACAGCACAGAACTTGTTTGAGGTTTTGGCATTTAAATGACACAAAGTAGATGCGTCTTAAACTACAATGTAGTCACTGCATGTATGTTTGCAGTAAAGAAGGGAGACAAGCGGAGAAGTTTTACCTTAGTTTTGTGCGTCCTGAATATTTCAGGATGTAACCTCGTGCAATACTTTTTTCAACTGTTGCCTATTTCTGGAAAGCTGCCAACAAGTTTAGAACCGCAAAAAGGAAATGAGAGCTCATGTGTATGCCCCTGCTAAACCTAACATGGTAGTTAAAGAACGCATTACTTCTGTTTATGAAAGAGCAGCTATAGCCTTCATCTTCTCAGCTGAAATCCTGATATAAAGTCAGAAACCACGCAGGTTACAGTGGGGAGGAAGTAAGTAGTTGTACAAATGTCTGAAACTGGAGAGCTGACAATGCTTCTTGCCCTCTGCTGCTATTTTGATTTCAATGTCTGTCTTGGTCTATTACTATTCATAGTCTGAGATGATATCACTGCTATAGCAATTTCTTAAACACAGCAATGTTTTCTTTCCTTCTGTACTAACTACAGCATTTGTCTGTTTGGTGTTTTGTGCCTTATTCTTTCCTGTTCGGGCACATTTCAATCCTTCAGATTCTTTCAAGGTGTCTGGCCCATTCAGGAGAAATAGTCGTCTATGAAATTAGTGTATTTGGACTCAAGCAGAAAATTGCTTATGCAAAATATAGTGTATCTTTGATTTAGCTTTGTACTTAAAGCATGCTCATGCACAAATTGCGTAGTCTTTTGGAGTTTGGCCTATGCTATGTGTATATCTTATTTCTTGGTTTTTGTTTTGGTTTGGTTTTTGCTTTGGTCAAGCATTTATCTCTTCAATTAATAGACTTCATAGAATTTTATAAGTGAGCAAAAATTTTAAGAAAATTTATTTTTTATCTTCTAATGAAACCTTTGGTTTAGAGACGTTATAAAACAAGATATTGACAGGCTACTGAATGTAATGCTCGGCTGCTTCTCTCTATGCATAGGATGTAGCTAACAGGAAACCCGTGAGTAACACTTACCTCAAAACTCAGAGAGAGTCACATAAAGTTTTTGCAGTAAAACTTCAGTTTGTGTTAATGGCAAGTAAGTGGATGAAATACTTGCAGGGCCAGAGGAATTCACATTGAGGCAGAGAGTGTTTCAAGAATCTCTTAAATGCATCTCCTGTTTTGCTTTTATTTACTCTCTGCAAATGTTTTAAGGTCTCCTTACGTCGACAACAAGTTAGTGAGAGACTGAATGAGTGGGCTGTCTTCAGTGAGAAGAACAAGGAGCTCTGTGAGTGGCTGACACAAATGGAAAGTAAAGTTTCTCAAAATGGCGACATCCTCATAGAAGAAATGATTGAAAAACTGAAAAAGGTATAGTGCAGTACATGTACACTTACATACTAATCTCTAACTGCTTACTTGTTTCATATTGCAAAGAGGATACTGAATGAGCTGAAATACAAGTTTTGCCTCACAGTAAGGCTGTAAGTTCCAGTGAGACTGTGTTTGTGTTCTTCTCTAGCTATGCAGTATTTTCCTGTCTTTCTTGAGGTAGGACCTCATAAGATATCACAAAATTAAGTGAATTCAATGTCAAAGGCATCTGAAGGCTTTATTAAGTGTCTTATCATAATTGCCTGTAATGGGTTTAACTGTAGCAGATATATTTCTAGAAGGTGTTATGTTTTGCTTTGTTTTTTTTCCTTCTTCTGATAAAGCTTTTTGTGGTTATACATCTAATATTTAAGAGGTTGTCTTTCCAGTGTACTAATCACTGAAAAAAACAACATACACTTGTATTTTTGTATAATTCCTTTAGTAGTGTAGAGCAGAATGTATCCAGAGTACGTACCCTGACTTCCAATTGCTCTTTACTGTCCAGGATTATCAAGAGGAAATTGCTGTAGCCCAGAAGAACAAAATCCAGCTCCAGCAAATGGGAGAACGACTTGCTAAAGCCAGCCACGAGAGTAAGGCATCAGAGATTGAGTACAAACTTGGCAAGATCAATGACAGGTGGCAACATCTCCTAGATCTTATTGCAGCCAGGTAAAACAGTTGTTTTGTTTCTAAGTGCTTTGTGGGACAGATTAATATGTTAGATGTCATGAATTTAAAGTCTTTTTATTGTCTGCTTTTTTCACCATTAACTGTGAAATTAGTTTATTCCTAAGCAGCAACACATTTCTGTGAAATTCACTTCTCCGTTTTAGCGTAAAACGTAACATAATTTCTGCAAGAAGAGTCAATTCAAAGCATTATTTGCTAGAAAGATGTAAGAACAGTTGCAGTCAGATTTAGTGAGCCTTGCTCCAGTAGCATCTTACTTCAGATGTGTGCTGAAAACTGGGTGCAAATGTAGTTTTCCCAAAAAATTCTTGTAAGAGGAGTCAAAACGGTGCTTATGTAATTCTGGATTTTGAGAAGAGCAGTTGCAAAACTAAGTCTTAGTTTTAATGTCTGATTATTTTTTCACTTATAGAGAAGAGTAACTACAGGTAGACATTATGCACATTGGGTTTAAAGATTCTTTCCACTTAAGGTGAAAAATACAACAGCAATTTTCTTAACTTAAAAAAAATGCAGGATTGTTGTTTCATATGTGAAGAAACTGGTTTGTTTGTTTCAATACTTTGTGTTGAGTTGTGCTACAGATGTCCTCCCATTACTGACAATAACAATAATTTTGTCACAATTTTGCACTTCTTAAAATGTACATTATATTTTATCAAAAATATGAACTTATAAATATTTTGTCTTAAAGTGCACTTTATGTTTTACACTTCTGTGATGTAAGGGCATATGAATTAGTAATACCTTAGTCCTGATAGCAGCAGAGATTTAGTTTAGTTCGTTTTTTCATCTATTCTTTTTTTCATATGGTTTTACTGCCTTCCTGCTCTGAAATCTGTAAGCACAGGAGTAGTAAATTTTATGTAGGCAGAAGCCTTCTGGTGGCTCCAGCTCCTTTTATAGTGGTTCATTTTAAAGTAACGAACACTGTATACTTCTTACAGAACAATTAAGTCAGGAAATGGTGCATTACGGCCAAAAAGCCTGCCAGTTTCAGCGGATATGGTGCATCATCAGTTGTTGAAAATAAAGTATATTCGCCATATTTTTGTATTTGTCTTTTGAAAAACCTACTCAAATGTTCAAATAATATCTTCAGGAATTTTCTAGAGAAAAGTTATTGCATTCAGAAACTGTGAAACACGTCTTTAAGAGATCTATGCTATCTATTCAGTATTAGAGGTTAGTATCCTCTATAGGGACAGGTAAGTGATTAGTATTCTGTATCATTCTTGGGGTGGGGAGATATAAGCTGCAATATTATACACTTAAAATTTCTAATTCTGTTATCATGAAGCAGAGTGTTAAATCCTAGTTCTAAAATAATTAAAGTAAAATATTTATTTACTTCTAATTCCAGATCACTTCAGCTTAGCCTTTTGAACTAGAGTGCTCAGCACTATTGTATGCAATTAAGCATATAACCCTTTCCATTCAAGTACTGAATGATGTGAAAAAAAACTCTTTGCAAAGTTTGAATGTTGCATTGCTGAAGCTGAGAAGTAAATGGTATAGAGGATTGATGATAGGTTGTGGAAATTTTGCTAGTTCAGATGTAGCTTAAGCTGTCTTATAGCAGTTAAAGCTCAAGTTCTTGATTAATGTATGTACCAAGTACTTGTATTTACATCTAATTCCCCCTAGACAAAAGGGTTTGCATCCTCCAAGATAGTTTCTAAAAGGTTCCAGAGGCTCTTTCGAGTATGTTGTTATGTACTGGGGAGTGTTCATGTTATATTTTGGAGTTTGGAATATATTGTATAACATGATTCTGGCTGCACACAGCTAGTAAATGCAGATTAATTGTTTTGGTGTTGAGAATGAAATATATCTTTTCATATGCTGGATCTCTGACAGCATTAATAAATTATTGGAGCCTGCTGTAAAGCTACAGTCATCTCTTGCCTGGAGGATTTTTCATTGTGGTTTGTTTCCAACAGCTGTGAACAAATAGAAAGTCCTCTATGAAAATGCTTTAGTAATATACTATGGTGATATACATCCAGTCCGAATCTTTACCTGTTGATTTTATTCTGTGCAGTCAAACTTCTCCATTCACATGTGAAAGACCCTTTCTTTCTTCCTTTTACTTTCTCACATTCTGATTCCTCACCCAGTTTTTTTTAATCATCTCTCCATTCTGAGGTCTGTAACTGTGGAAGAGACATCTACAGAAAGTTAGCTATGTCTCTGCATCAGAGACTTCTGTTTTGTCCTTCTAGAATGTTTTCATCCTTTCAGATGAGTTTGTCTGATATGTCAGCCTGGTGCAAAAAATGTTACAGATGTTTACAGCCAGGAAGCTGTGCTATTGCTGCAACTGCTCAGGCTTTTCAAAGAAGACTTTGTTGTATGTGTTTTCATCCCTTCCCCTAGCACTCACGGTCCACATTCCTGGAGATAGAGAGTCTGGCACATGTTGATGAATGCAAGTTTTATTTAGAAACATGACCACTTGTCACCGTTGAGTCTCATGTTATCAAGCAACGGCTGCTAACATTTGTTTGGTGTGCAACATTTTCTGTACAGTACTCACCAGCAAAGAGAAGTGTGTCCCCTTTCCTCCCCCCAGTCAAACCATAGTGTTTGCAGGCTTTTGAAGGGGAAGTTCTTCTTTTTAATGCTGGAAAATTTCATGGTGGTGTCAGAGGACTTGCATGCTGTGAGGATGGCAGAGGACGGCAGTGTGGATTCAGATCTCCCAGACTGTAATTGTGATATCACAAGGCAGGCAGCTATTTTTGTTTGATTTTGATTGATATGGTTCTTTTTGAAGTCTTGGCTTGCTGGGAAACTAATTGAAATATTGATATATAGAAATCACTACCTTAGCTAGAAATCATTGTTTTCTGCTCAGTTTAAAAATAGTTGACAGTGATAACAGCATACTTTGTTTTATAGCTAATACTTTTGCATCCCAGAATAATTTGTCATTACCGTAGCAGACTTAGAACTAGTAAAATCTCTTAACTAAATGAAACTGCAGACTGGTTTTACTGCTGTTTTTAAATAAAAGAGCACGCATGAGAGAAGCAGACTTTGTATTTGTCTGCTTGCTGTTTGTGTCATCAAAGGGGCATGGCTACAGGCAAAAGGCAGAGAAAGAGAGAGGCTGTAAAGAAAGTGTTTCAGACTTAATGAAGCTTCTCAGTCCTGTACATGTTAACGACTCTTTTGTAACTGCATGTAATACTTGAACTCAGCCTACATCATCTTGGAATTTTGAATTAGCTTCTCTTTTTCCCTCTTGACTTTGTCTTTTTTAGAAGTTTTGCTGTTGTTCAGAGTTCTAGAGATTTACTCTGTGAAAGGGGAATGTGCTCTGAAGAACAAATATAACTGACGGCACTAGTGTCCTGGCACGCAGGACTGTACTGGACTAGTAACGTACTTCAGACAATAAATCTTTTTTAATCGTAAAAAGGTTATTTTAAAACTGCTTTTTTAAAAAAACTGATGTTAATAGTGTAGGATTTTTCATGAGTCTTCCATCTCCAGTTTCAAATAGCTAGTTTTCTACTAGCTTTGTATCGATTTAGTTAACATGCTTTTACTGACTTTTTTCATATTGCTTTTGAAGTTTAATATTAGTAACCAGCTGTCTAAAAGGCTAAGGGAGTAGCTATGAGTTCTATATGATGCATTGTTATGCATTTACAGGGTTGTTGTTTTTCAGGTTTAAGTGGAATTTAAGGCTAATTTAGGACTACTTGAATTAAATGTATTTGTGCTTCATTTCAGCTCCAAGTTGTTCTCCCAATGCCTTTACTTAATGCAAAATAGACAATTTAAGGTTATTACTTTCTTGGGGAAACCAAGGTATAATAATTGGAACATGGAAACATAAGCATTGTAAGCCCATTCAAATTTTCAGATGTGTTTTAATTAGTAAACCATAAAAGCAAACAATTGAATTCTGGAGTAATTCCCTTTCTGAGAGACTTAAGAATTTGTAAATTGTAGCAAGACTGATGTGTGTATGTTATATAAAAAAAAACCCAACCTTTAAAAAAAACTGTCATGTGTCCAACTCTTTGATTTCAAAGCAGAAACTTCATTATCAGGGAGAGGAGTTATCTCAAGTCTCTTGCAGTAACATGCATAGTGGTACAACGGAAGCATCAGATGATTATTGGAATAATTAACTTTTTAAGCATTATCTTGTTAACGAAACCTCAAAAGGTCAAAATTACACTTGGCTAGGGATCCAATGTACTTGAATGGTTTATAATTTGACCTTTGTGTCTAAGCAGAGATTTTAATATCATTACCTTTCATGCCCCACCATTATTATGGAAATGTAAGATTTTGAGCTGTAACATTTTTGAGAGACATTTTTGTTGCACACACATTATGTCATTGTTTGTACATGGGCACGGTATTCAGTGCAATGAAGAGCATATGCCTCTTGCTTCCTAAAATTCTGAAGGAAAACTCTTAAACACGATGGATTACATGTACTATTTATTTGCAGATATATTTTCAGGGTAGCTAGAGGCACAGTACTGTGTTGCAGTTCATTCAAAAAAAGTAAGCCTAGCATACTCCAAGCAGCACTTGTTTATTTTCTACTCTCTGTACCGTGTGCAAGGGACATGTTATGTTAGATTTGATAGAAAAAAACAACACTGTTAGCAGTAAATGTAGCACAGGACAGGAAAGGAGTGGTCCTTTTTTTTTTTTTTTTTTTAACTTTTGGAATTTAGGTTCAGGGAATTGTTACAGTTTTGTAGAAGGCAGGTTTAGCAGTAGGTTTTGGGTTTGGTTGGAGTGTTCTTTTAATATGTCATGCTTTTTTTCTTTTTCTCTCTTGAGTAACTTAGGTCATGTGACTGAAAATAGCTCTATTTAGGTCAGGGTTGGTTTTTTTTCTCTGGCAGACTGCATTCCCATGCAGTCTGTTTGAGGCCAAGAGGGTACTTGCTAAATGACAGCCCCTGTATCAGGTGTTGTAGGCAAAATGTAAATAAAATCCCACACAGCGGTTAGGGTACTATACAAGTGCAAACAAGAAAACCTGTTCCACAGCTTGTGCTTGCAAATGATAAAATGACATTGCTTCTACATAGGGCTGATGTGACTCATTGTTCCCTTTCCCACTCCAGCATGCATGCAAAGGATCAGTGGCAACCAGCCCTGAAAATCTAAGCAGAATATGGGCACAATTTCACTCCTTGTAATTAATGTCAGAGGCTGAAAAGCTCTATGTGAATTTGAAGAGTGATAACCAACCTTCTTGCTCTCCCTGTGAGCAAGTTTCAATTGATGCAAACCCACAGAGCGCTGTATGTACAACGATAGGTGATGAGGAGATGGTGTCCCCAGACACTGCTTAATCTCAAGGCTAAACATACAGCTGTGTTTCAGGATAACTTGATGACGAGGACTGGTGCAGTCTTTCAGCACGATTGTGTTGACTTCAGTCCCTTCACAGCCAGCTTTTCAGACCACTCAGATTTTTTAAAATTACCAAGATTTTTTTTTCAGATCACAACCTCTGCAGCTGTTGGTCATGAGACTCTGGCAAGGAACATGTATTTGAACTGTTCTTAAGCACGTTTGGTGCTAAACAGCCAGAGCCTGACCATCTGTGATCTAAAGAGAGGGCTAGAAAGAGACAAAAATTTGAAAGACTTAACTATTACATTTTTTAAGTTGATATTAAGATCTCTGCATTTTGCTTTGGTAAGAAAAGGACACTAGTATTAGATTCTTAATGGTCAACTGCAACTACTGCTTTAATACTGCTTTAAATATGGAAACAATAAATTTGCTGGTTAGTGTTATGGAAAAAATGTGAATTGCTCAGTTCAAATTACAGGATAGGCAGGTGGCATTTTGGGTTTTTGATTAATCCATCAACCTTGTATTTTTCAACCTGATTTAGTCAATCTTTTCCCAGGTGCACTCATCTCTTAAAGCTTTTTGATACTGAAACTCTTGAGTGGAAGAGTAATAGAAGCATAAAGGGGAATGTTACTCAAAATTGTTTGCCGTACTACAAAAAAGGGGGAGGAAGGGGGAAAAGCATGAAAGCTTGGAAACGATTTCAAAATCCACTAATGCATGTTATGTAACATGGGAATATGAAGGAGGGAATTATTAACAGATATTTTTTCAACTGAAGCAGGCTACTTAAATATCACCATGCAGCTGCATTCTAATTTCTAATTTCATCTGTTTAAATCTGAAGTAGTCTATCAGGACCACAAACAACTCAAAGCAGGTGTTGGGATTCAGGAATTCTCACTAAGTTCTCAGCTGGATCTCTCTCTCTAAAACTCACTTACTCAAGGGCACGGGTTGTCCAGAGAGGTGACAGATGCCCTGTCCCTGGAAACGTTCAAGGTCAGGTTGGATGGGGCTCTGAGCAACCTGATCTAGTTAATGGTGTCCCTGCCTCTTGCAAGGAGGTTGGACTAAATGATCTTTGAAGGTCCATTCCAACCCAAACCATTCTAGGATATGTAGTTTGGAGTCTAGAAATCGCCCAGGTGAAAAAGGTCTATTCACTCAGTGCGCTACACCACCAGTACTGATTAAATGGATAAGTTATCTGTAGTCTAAGAACTTATGACACCTGTTGGTCAAACACACAACTAAATTACTTAAATTACTTAGATTGTTTTGAGGTTTTGGTGTGTGTGATGACATTAACCAAAAAAAAAAAAAAAAAAAAAAGATTTAGCTCAACAGATAAAGGTACTGAAGCATTGAAGATGTTGTCTGGCGTTACTAAGATCTTAATTTTTCTTGATCAAAGCCTATGAATGCAGGACTATTTGCTCATATAATAATAATACCATTACATAGTAAAGAAAAATTTCAGAGCAGAGGCTGCAAACTAAGTTAAGTCTCTCTGAAAACTTCCTGAAACATATGCTGTGGAAATTATTCTCCTTCAGGGTGTAGTTATGCTGCCATTTCTTTTTCTTTACAGGGTAAAGAAGTTGAAGGAGACCCTTGTTGCAGTGCAGCAGCTGGATAAAAACATGAGTAGCCTGAGATCTTGGCTTGCCCACATAGAGTCAGAGCTGTCCAAACCGATCGTCTATGAAACTTGTGACTCTGAGGAGATACAAAGGAAGCTAAATGAACAGCAGGTAAAATACAACACATTTATCAGATGCACGATGACATGGGGAGAACCAAAGTAGAGTGTCCTGGGCTGCCCATACCTGGCTCAATGCTGAAAGGGCATGAGGCAAAGAAGTGTTTAAATATCAAGGCAAGTGGTACTTACTGTGTCACTTATAGAGCCTTCTGCTGGCTTTGACATCGAATCCACCAGGAGCTGATTGACCTTTCCAAGAAAGGTAAGGCACAAAGAGATGTAACTTAAACAAATTATTGCAATTGTTTTTCCTTTGGGGTTTGTGTTTTTTGTTTGAATTGTCTGTTCCCAGAGGCAAAACTGACACCTATTAGACCCTGCAAATTTTGCACATGCTTGAAAATTACTATTATAGCGACCTTTCTAACTCAGTTTTATTTTGCAGCTTGTTTGAGAATCACTTTGCACGCAAAGATGCATGAGCTATATGTGTGAAGTTAAAATTGGTTGGTTTAAAGCACACGAAGCCTTTATGCAGTGCTATAACAAAGCAGTCAACACTGGAATTCGCAGAAAGATGTTAAGTCAGCAAGATTTTAGCATTAAAACTAATGTTACTCCTAAGAAGATTTACCATACTTTCGCTTTCCTGTTCCACTTCACTGCCCAGTGCAGTTTCATGTAGAAGCACATTGCTCAGGAGGATTGTTGTTCTATTGTGTTCCTATTGGTTATTTATTGGAAACAATACTTTTCTGATCCCTCACTGGAGATGAGTTAGATGCTCTCCTGAGTTCTTTCTCCAGAGGAGAAAGAAATGTGTGGGAAGAGGGGTGCCAGAAAGTTTTGGGAATAATTAATTTAAGAAGTGTACAAACTGGCATTTTGCTCTTTTAAGCTGAGTGTGAGACTGAGACCCAAGAACCCACTTGAAGTTTTTGCTGTCTCCCTGGCTGGTTTTCTATGTGGCTGTCTAGATTTGCCTATAAATACTCTATATATAATTAACATAGGGATAATAATTTATAAAACATATCATTAATGAGTGGGGTTTCTGAGACTATTAATAAAGTGTTGGCTAGGTCTAAACATTGCTATCACCAAAGCAGATGTTTGAGATTTTTTTTGCTAGCATCCATATGCAGACATCCCACAGTTTGTTAGTCACTTCTTATGACTTATTTTGGGCACAGAGACTGGTGTATCTCTGCCTTCTGCTGTTTCTTTGTGGTGACCTCCATGCAGTGACACACTGAAATGATATTCTGTAGAAGTGTGAGTGGTTTAATTTGAACTCCAAACAGGAGAAATAGAGGTGAATCTTATCATGAGAGAATGCTATGTTTGGAAACTGGATGATGATTTGAGTTGATAACACTGCAAGCCATGCTAATAATAAATTTTTAAAAACACCCAACTTCAATGTACAGCAACCAGGATTTTTATTATTCAGAGGCTCTATCACTATCCACCACATCTCAGAAGGCCAATATATTGGCTATCTTCTCAAGTTTGTAATTCTTATTCTGTAAGTGATCTTACATTCTTTCCCATATTTAATCTTCCACTGTGGTCATGTTATCTTCCCTGCTTGAACTGCTACCAGTTGTTCATATACAAAATGATGTTTAAAATATTATGCTGTGAAAGAAGAGGGCAAAATTCCATTTCTGTAACTCCATTATCTACTTCTCAGCATCTGCTTCAGCCAAGAATCAGCTTTGCAGATTGCTGGTCTTTCTAGTGAAATTCAAGATACAATTAAAGCTGAATATCCTGGGGTGGGTACTGTAACTTCACTGCAGTATTTTCCTAGGGTCACACACTCCATTTCAAAGATTACTTGTTTGTTTACTTCCTCAGTCTGCTACCACTTGAAATGTGGAAAAAATGGTGTTTGCTTCTAGGCTAATAAAGGGAAAAAAAGTTCTATGTATGTGACAGCAGTGCATAAAAGTGATGCTCCTTTGTGAACTAATCCAAAGTCTAAATCTCTAATAAACACAGAAAGTTTTAAAATCTGGGAAGAAACATAATGCTATGGAGAAAAAAAAAAAAAAAAAAAAAACCAAACCAGTGTAGACATCACTTGTAGAAGGTTTCTGTAGGTGAATAAAAAAGATTAATCCTTGGGGTTCTTCAGGACCAGAAGTTCTCAGTACCATTCTACTCCAGAACAGCAGAGACGAGATTGTATTACCTGAACTTGCTTAACTTCAAGTATCCTAGCTGTCTGGAGCATGCGTTTCACAGAGTATTGCATCTGTTTACAGTATTCACCTTTATATAACATTTCAGTATGGGTAGAATAAGCACTTGGACATCACAATGAAAGACTATTTTCTAGGCAAGTGAAAGTGAAAGAGCCAGCACTGAGGAAGAAAACATTGTGATTTTCCACTTAAAGGTCTTATGTAGGTGTTCACAAAATAGCCTTCTGTTTCATAGATGAGAAGAGAAAATAGATTACTTCACTGAGTCCAACCCTAGTTATCACAAACAACCTAATCAGATGTTTGATACAAATTGACCTTGCTCCTATTCAAATTTTCTGAGGTTTGTAGATTCTGTACTTAAATCTCATTTCTTCCTGCAAGGCATTTTTAGTACATCATATTGCTAATTGGAAGAAAAGTTCCTCTAGTTAGACCTTAAATATATATGGGCACAATATGTTGACAATGTATTTCCCTTTGCATGTTATAGTTACTTTGTTAAAAAATTATAAAGAGCAGATTATCTTTACTCATCTTCAAGCTGCCAAGTTCTTGTTCTTCTATGTAAGCTTCCACATCTCTAGTTGTCCTGCTAGTTCTTTTCTTCTTCTGAATCAGCAGTGAACATAGTATTCTAGATGTAATGCATTACTTTTTGATGTAGTCACATTAGTACTTCTTTGTCACTATTGGAATTACGTTATGGCTTTGTTACATTCCATCTAATATTCTAACGATTCATTGCAAATGTAGGCAGAAGTCAAGCAGGGTTTCTTTTCTTTGAACTGATCCAAGAGCAACAGGCAACTACTTTTGTGACTTGCCTTGACTTAAATCTGTATTTCAAAGCTGAAGCTGAAACATTGCTTCAAGATGAAACATTATCATCAGTGTAGAGCAAGCCATTGCAAACAAGAAAACAATAGGAGAAATAATGCTGATCATATACAAGTACTAAGACAGTCTAAGTACATTTTCTTTAGCTTTCCTGAATTTTCCTTTTTCATTTCCGATGAAAATTCTATAAAATTGAAAAGTTGAAGGAAGAAATTCTCCTAATAGAGGTGCACTGTTCAACATGTACTGCTGCTGATCTCTATATCAAACATGCTGTTTTGCAGATAGCTCACCTGGGGAAGTGTAGGTTCACAAAGAGTACGTCCACCAAACCCTTGCAGTAAATAGGAATTTATTTTCTTTTCACACTTTTTTCACTAACTTCTGCTTTAAAGCCTTTGTGATTATGGGAAAGGGCTGAGAATAATTCCACCATTTATTGGTGATATTAATTAAATGTATGTGGAAGATGCTCCGCTGAGCATGCAAAGCTCTGGCAGTTTGTCCCAGGTGTGGTGTTTGTAGTCCCTGGGAGAGCTGTGCATGCTGCCAGGTTCTCCTGGCCTTGTTGATAACATTGCAACACCACTTGCACAGATGCAGTCTCTTAATAGGTATTCACTGGATGGTATTTTCCTGTTTGCAAGCTTATTATTTATTTTTTTTTTTTTTTTATAAGTAGAAGAAGAATGCATTTCTATTTATGCATATTTTGCCATTTCTATTAAGAATGGATTTCTTCACCTGCAGGAACTTCAGAGGGACATAGAGAAACACAGCACTGGAGTGGCATCTGTTCTCAATTTGTGTGAGGTGCTGCTTCATGACTGTGATGCTTGTGCCACAGAAGCGGAGTGTGACTCTATCCAGCAGGCTACACGCAATCTGGACAGAAGGTGGAGGAACATTTGTGCAATGTCAATGGAAAGGCGACTGAAGTAAGTCTCAAATGCCTACAATTTAATATTTCCTTCCACAGGCACATATTCAGAATGGAGTCTATGTTATAGTGTTGCAGTAGTGAAGAAAAGGGTGTGGGGGTCAGGAAAAGATGACACTGAATAAAAGCCAATAGCTGTTATGCTGTGGGGAAAAAAAAAAAAAAAAGAAAAAAAAATATATTTGGACCTGTTTCTGTATGTGCCTTTATATAGAGTACAGATATCAATTATCAAAGTGTGTTCACAAGGCCTTTGGTGAAATGCTTTTATTTCCCATGCTCCACAGAAATAATGAGAGAAAAACTAGAGAAAGCTCAGAAGATAGCAATGACTCCAAGAGATTTAGAAAACATGACTTAAAAGAGAGAGCTGTAACATTTAAGTTTACCCCAGAACTACTGAGACTCATGGGGAAACTAGTTGTCAAGTGGGTGGAATGTTATTCTAGGTGTTAAGGTTTTCATGCACCTAAAGTCCCACAGCAGTTTATCTTATGTCTGATTTCATTTACTCGGAAGAATTTTAGAACTGAACACTCATCTGGAATTTCCTCATCTGCCCACCTCAGCTTTGCTGAGCAAGTGTGGGCCATAGTGCCTGTGCATCTTGGGTGTGCTCTGGTTTACTGCACGTGCTTAGACCATCTGTACACTGCATGCCTGTGTTAGCCAGAAGATTCTTTGCCTTCTGTTCCCATCTAGGAATAGCATGGGTGATTTTGATAGCCATAATGATGTAGGCTAGGTTGGGCCAATACTATATACTCTGTGGTGACTAGTAATAACACGTTTAACTGTTTGAAATTGTGTATTTATGAAGATCTTTCCTGTACCTTTTTAAGTATGAATCTGATTTCTGTCACGTTTACACTGTCACATCAAGAACTCTAGGTTAAGTTTACGACTTTTCAAAATGCTGAATTGAACTTTGTGATCTTTGGTTTTCTGGGATATTCTTATTTATTATGTGTTTAGTAAAGGTTTTCTTTATTTTATGCAAAAACTTTGTTGCTTTTAAGTTCTGCTGCTGCTCTGTACCCACAAATTGTTGTCTTTAAGCATTTTTACACTTTTACCATGGTAATTCTTGTATGATGTCTATATATATATATATATAAATACAGCTTATGAATTGTCTTTGACACTATCTTGAAAATACACAAGGTCTTCATACCTCTGTGTCCAGCAAATTAATTCAGAACTATTTAAGTTAATGTGGAACAATACATTGAACTTTATTTTACTTTCTTACAATGTATAGATTATGCTATTAGTAGATATGTAACAGTAAGTTGACTGAGCTAACAGTATTTAGGATCTTTATTGTACTAGAAACAGTTGTTCATATTATAAAGCAATTTTCCAGGTGTCAAACTTCAGGTTAAGCAACATATCATCAACAGAGCATAAATTTTGCCTTTATCAGGTTCTTTTCAAACCTGTGTTGAAAAATCTAAAAGATATATTCTGTATGTAAAGAGAGACAAAGTTCTGCTGTTGTTTTGGGACAGCTAATACAAGCTGTCCCAAAAAAAGATCTTGTTATTTTGAATCAAGTGATGAAGTTCTTGGGATTTTACAGTCTCAGTGTTAAGCCAGTTTGATTTTAGGATGAAGAGTCAGCCACTATTTTTACTTATTCAATTGAAGCCAAATTGTTTTTTTTTTTAAATGTTGAAATAAACTGTAACACTTTTTTTATTATTCTAATTTTTAATAAAAATGTTTACAGTGCGTATTGAGAGATAACATTTTACCACTTGTGGTGAATTAAAAAAAAAATGTTCATTTCCATTTGCAACACAAAGAACTGAAGACTTTAAAATATGTGCTGCAAGATGTTTAGCATTTTATAAGAAAAAGGTCTGCAGTTGAAGGTAGTGTGAGATTTCTAATCTCTAAAATACTGGCTTAGGTAACTACACTGGACTGTATTTCAGAAGTTATTTAGCATGTGCTCAGATTGTTTTAGAGCTCCTATTGCATACTTATAACTTTATTTTTATACTGATTCCAAAATTAGATGCTTTAAAAAAAAAAAAAAATTGCCATCATCTTATTCTAGTTTAGTATGGAATGAGCCAGCCTTCCCTGTGGTTTGTTTATCAGCCTGACTGTCTGACTTAGGTTAAGAGCCAGTTATTGTCTGGTGCAGCACTAATTTGCAGTTGTAGATGATTAGTTAAAGTTCTGTAGGTCACCTGGCCTTGAGTGTGAGCATTCTCTAATTTTCCATCTATTGCAGAATTGAAGAGACGTGGCGGCTGTGGCAAAAGTTTTTGGATGACTACTCTAGATTTGAAGACTGGCTAAAAGTCTCTGAGAGGACAGCTGCTTTCCCAAGCTCCTCTGGTGTGCTTTACACAGTTGCTAAGGAAGAACTGAAGAAATTTGAGGTGATTTATAATAGCTGAAATGTAATATCTACTGATCACATTACAGCAGCCAGCTGGTGTTCTTCCTTCCCATACACAAGTCACTCAGCAGAGACACTGTATTAATATAGTGTGGAGTTGATGATATTGTAGCTGCCTTCAGTGGGAGGTTTCTAAAATGAAAGAACAGTGGAAGGTGGCAACTGAAAATGATAATAAATCAATCCATTCTCACTTGCTGTTTGTTCACCCAAGTTAGATTTTTTACCTTTTGTTCTTCAGCTTTTTAATATGTCAACTCAGTAGGTGCTCCAGAATATTCATAAATCTCACTTCAATGAGTATGTCTTCAAATACATGCTGCATGTTTTAGCTTTTGCTCTGATTTTATCCCTCCTTTCTGTAACTCTCTGAAACCAGCACTCTGAACTCTTTTCCTCTTTTTCTACAATGTACAATATCCCCATTTTAGATCCTTATACTTGAAGTTCATGTTTGTGCAAGTGTAATTATATGCCCACATTATGTCCCATGTGACTTAGAAGTTAAGTGCATGCTTCAAAACTGAAGTTCAATCAGTCATTGCTTAAGAGCTTGTTACATAATTCCCTTGTGCTTACGACAATGTGATGTCTTCTCTCATAATTACAATGGAGTCTATACCTGTGTGTAAATTATGTGACTAGTTGCAGATGAAAGTCTTTTGCTCAGTTTTGTATTTACAAGGAGTATATTAAGATGAGAGAGGAAAATAATTCTGAAGAAAGAGAACAAATTGTTTAGGCAATTCTGTAAAAAGTCAGATGCTGTAAAGTATTTGCTGCGAGGAAGAAATGTAAATTTTAAAAAAAATTTAAGACCAGTTAATATGTCTTGGTTTAACAATTTATTAAAAAAACAAACTGAAGTGCTGATTCAAGATTTGTAATTGACATTCATATTTCTGAATGTATTGGCCAGGTTTTGTTGTTCAGGACTGTCAGACTTCATTATGGTGAGGTAGGTTATGGTAGTGTAAAAATGCTTGCTTCCTGGACACGGACACTCTGTCTCAGACTTCTTTCTCATTTTCTATTTATCCAATGATCAGAATTTAAATTTCTTGTTTAGCGACTCTATATGAGTAATAATACCAAAAATATCTTGGCTGCTTTTGACTTTTACAGCTGATCTGATTTTGCCCAAAGTCTGTTTTATTGAACCTCAACCTTTATGGTGACCTTCCCTCTTCTGCAGACTTGTGGAATTTTTAC